GAAATCGAATCTAGATTGGTGTTAGGGAGTCAGGGGGGCCTGGCGAGGGCTGGGGGATGGGGGACGGGGTTCAGTGTGTGTGATGGGGAGCCAGTGGGGGCTGGCGAGGGCTGGGGATGGGGGACGGGGTTCAGTGTGTGTGTTAGGGAGTCAGTGGGGGCTGGCGAGGGCTGGGGGGATGGGGGACGGGGTTCAGTGGGGGTGATGGGGAGCCAGTGGGGGCTGGCGAGGGCTGGGGGGATGGGGTTCAGTGTGTGTGATGGGGAGCCAGTGGGGGCTGGCGAGGGCTGGGGGGATGGGGTTCAGTGTGTGTGATGGGGAGCCAGTGGGGTCTGGCGAGGGCTGGGGGGATGGGGGGACGGGGTTCAGTGTGTGTGATGGGGAGCCAGTGGGGCTGGCGAGGGCTGGGGGATGGGGGACGGGGTTTAGTGTGGGTGAGGGGGAGCCAGTGGGGCTGGCGAGGGTTGGGGGATGGGGGACGGGGTTCAGTGTGTGTGATAGGGAGCCAGTGGGGGCTGGCGAGGGCTGGGGGGATGGGGGGGAAGGGGTTTAGAGGGTGATGGGGAGCCAGTGGGGGCTGGCGAGGGCTGGGGGGATGGGGGGACGGGGTTCAGTGTGTGTGATGGGGAGCCAGTGGGGGCTGGCGAGGGCTGTGGGGATGGGGGGACGGGTTCAGTGTGGGTGATGGGGAGCCAGTGGGGGCTGGCGAGGGCTGGGGGATGGGGGACGGGTTCAGTGTGTGTGATGGGGAGCCAGTGGGGGCTGGCGAGGGCTGTGGGGATGGGGGACGGGTTCAGTGTGGGTGATGGGAGCCAGTGGGGCTGGCGAGGGCTGGGGGATGGGTTCAGTGTGTGATGGAGCCAGTGGGTCTGGCGGCTGGGGGGACGGGGTTTAGTGTGTGAGGGGGAGCCAGTGGGGCTGGCGAGGGCTGGGGGATGGGGGGACGGGTTCAGTGTGGGTGATGGGGAGCCAGTGGGGGCTGGCGAGGGCTGTGGGGATGGGGGGACGGGTTCAGTGTGGGTGATGGGGAGCCAGTGGGGCTGGCGAGGGCTGGGGGGATGGGGGGACGGGGTTTAGTGTGTGTGATGGGAGCCAGTGGGGGCTGGCGAGGGTTGGGGGGATGGGGGACGGGGTTTAGTGGGGGTGATGGGGAGCCAGTGGGGGCTGGCGAGGGCTGGGGGGATGGGGGGACGGGGTTTAGTGTGTGTGATGGGGAGCCAGTGGGGGCTGGCGAGGGTTTGGGGGATGGGGGGATGCGGGTGAGAATACAGGCGACAGAGTTTTGAATTAGTTGTAGTTTGTGGGGAGACCATAATCGAGTAATCGAGTAATCGAGTAATCGAGTAATCGAGGCAGGAGGTAACAAAGGAGTGGACGAGGGTTTCGGCTGTATCTGGGGTTAGGTACGGACGGAGACAGGATTAGTGGCGGAGGTGCAGGAAGGGGGTGCGGGTCAGGGATCGGATGTGGGGGAAGGAAGGACAGCTGGGGGTCAAACCTGATGTCTATGTTACGCACACGTTCAGTAAGTCTTAGGGATAGGCCGGGGAGGCTGAGGAGGTCAGAGCGGCAGGAGAGAAGACATTGACGGGAACCAAGGAGTATGGCTTCCGTCTTGTCCGCGTTCAGCTGCAGGAAGCTCACGCTCATCCAGGGCCTGATGTCGGCCAGACAGCTGGCAGAATATCGGGGGTCTGGGAGTCGCAGCTGGTCGAGAAGTAGATGTGTGTGTCGCCCGCAAAATGTGGAAGTTTACCCCGCGTCTGCGGATGACATCGCCCGGAAACTATGGCACTCTCTCCCTCGATCCCTCCGGCTTGCCCCCTCTTGCCCCCTTCACGCCTGAAGACCTTCCTGCTTGACCACCTCCCCCCCGGCTCAGCGACAGGCTCCGCCACCGGTAAGTGCTCCGACGCACTGCCCTGCATTAAGGGCGCTGTGTAAGTGCAAGCTGCTGTTGTTGTTGTTGTTGTGGTTGTTGAACCAACCTCCCATCAGTGCCTGGACAGGCGGAGTTTAACGATTCCCTGATGTTATCGGGGAACGAGATGGGAGTTTCTCGATGAATAGGACAAGAGTGGAGATTAATCGCAGAATCCAATTACAAACCCCTATAGTCTCTTCCTGCAGCTAAACTCTGATTAATCCTCCCCACACGGCACTTGTGTCTTAGCTAAAACCTTGCAAAGACCACCAGCTGGTAACCCCTGCCGTCTGGAGCACTGGGTGACCACTCCAGCCCAGCGCCGGGGGGGGGGGGGGAGAGAGAGAGACCACTGTCAGAGACGCCGTCCTTCAGATGAGACGTTAAACCTCACTCCCCGTCTGTGCTCTGTTCAGGCGGACGTTAAGAGAAGGGACTTTCTCTCTCTCTCTCTCTCTCTCTCCCGGTGTCCGGGCCGACAATCCCCGGATACAGCCACTCGCTCACTCGAAGTGCAATGCGTGCAAATCGCCTGCTGCTCTCACCTCCAGATACACAGTCACTACACCAGTACCATTTCCATGTAAAACACTTTGAAACAGCTGTGGAAGGATTCGAAGGCTTACGTCTCTGATACAGAGTGTACACACACAGACTGCGTATTCTCTATAATAATAAGTGCTTTGATAATAATTAATATAACAATAAATTCTTTGTCTCACCGTGAAAGACACCGTACAAATGTAACTGCTCTCCTCTAAACCCTGGATCAGCCTCACTGCTCTCCTCTGCTCAACACTGGGATCAGCCTCACTGCTCTCCTCTAACCCTGGATCAGCCTCACTGCTCTCCTCTGTCTCTAACCCTGGGATCAGCCTCACTGCTCTCCTCTGTCTCCCCTTCACTGCTCTCCTCTGTCTCTAACCCTGGGATCAGCCTCACTGCTCTCCTCTGTCTCTAACCCTGGGATCAGCCTCACTGCTCTCCTCTGTCTCTAACCCTGGGATCAGCCTCACTGCTCTCCTCTGTCTCTAACACTCAGCTTCTCCCTCTCGAGGAGAACTTGTTTCTATTGATGGACCCTCCAGGTAGAACTCTGCTGTTGTTATTGATTTGGCGATTAGCGGCTCATATTCATACCTTATTAAAACCCTACAAACCAAAGTCCTGATGGGTGGGGCGGTCCGAGCTGGACATGGAGAGAGGCAGTGCTCTCAATGGCCGAGCGATGTGGGTTTAGCCGGTTACACTCCAGCAGTTACCCCAACACACACTCTGGGACCCCCCCCCAAGCCTTGGCTCTCGCCAACCTGCGCCTAATATTCTCCGGAATTAGGCAAGTGGGAGGTATCTCTCCAGGGAGAGAGAGAGGAGAGAGAGAGCACATTCCATTCCAGACACTGGGAGATCTCAATGTGTTGGTGTGTATAGTTGGGTCTCTGTCTGGTTGGAGATTTTTTTGGTCAACCGGGTGTCTGACACGTGACAACTGATCACATGCTTCAGAATATCCAAACCAAACTGAGAATTCCATGTATTGAAGACTCTTAAGCTGCGGTGACGGGTTTCCGTGTGTGTCAGACACCGGCTGGTCACGGTGACAGGTTTCCGTGTGTGTCAGACACCGGCCGGTCACGGTGACGGGTTTCCGTGTGTGTCAGACACCGGCTGATCACGGTGACGGGTTTCCGTGTGTGTCAGACACCGGCCGGTGACGGGTTTCCGTGTGTGTCAGACACCGGCTGGTCACGGTGACGGGTTTCCGTGTGTGTGCACAGACACCGGCTGGGTTTCCGTGTGTCTCAGACGGTGTCACGGTGACGGGTTTCCGTGTGTGTCAGACACCGGCTGGTCACGGTGACGGGTTTCCGTGTGTGTCGGACACTGAGTGACCAAAACCAACCCACCTCTCTTTCTCTGTCACTGTCTCTCTGGGGGTGGGGGTTGAGGGTTGAATGGGGGTAATCCCAACTAATCTCATCCTCCAGGATACTCCCCCCACCGTGTGTGTGTCCCCCATCTCAGCATCGAGCTGCTGCTTAAATGAGTCCTAATGTCGTGGCCTCAACCCCCTCGTCCCACCAATCCTCTGGGTAACAAAACCCTTCCTGTTGTCTGTCCTTAAGTTATATCTCTAACCCCGTGTCCTCTTGTTCCACTGTCTCGGTGCGTCCAAGAGTGTTGCTCCGTTTGGAAGGCGCGAGAGCGAGGAGTGAGGGGGAGCTGGGATCGCCCGCCCGCCCGCCAGGAGCGTTAACCGGTCTCCGAGCCCCTCAGCTCTCGCAGGTGAGTCCCTAGCAAACCCGTCAACGACGACGACAACTTGCATTTACACACACACAGCGCCCTTCACTCGGGGCAGCGGCTCGGAGCCACGCCGGCCGCTAAACGTTCGGTTGTTTGCGTGGGTGTCGGGTGGGGGGCGGGCAGCGGCAGCCGTTCACTAACTGCCGGGAGCTGCCGAGTGTCTCTGAGCCCCCGCCACGTCCGGCGAGGGGTCTGCCCGCAGCTCGGGTAGCGAGAGGCGCCGATCGTCCCCCCCGGGGGCCGGGCTCGCTGCTGATTCCCCGCACTGCGGCGGTAAGATGGCGTTCAGACTGCGGTTCACTCCCCTGGACCGCGAGGCCTTGGTCATCTCGCTGAGCAGCAACTCACACGGCTCCACGCCCAGGTCACTCTCCCGGCCGACCCGCACCTGAGCAACGACAAACACAACGTCCACGTGTCAGAGCGTGCGTGTGCATGACACAGCGCGTGTCAGAGTGTGTCAGTCACGTGATTATAGAAACAACAGCAACAAAATGACATTTGTAAAGTGTCTTTCACGTCGGGAGGACGTCCCAAGGCGCTGGACAGTCAGGGATCAGGACCTGAGTGTGGAGGGGGGGGGGAGGGCGGGGGGGTGGAGGGTCAGGGTTGGGATGAGGGGGGCAGAGGAGTCAGGAGGGCCACTGAAGGCACGGTCAAAAAGGAGGGTCTTGGGTCGTGCCTTGGGAGGGAGAGAGGGTAAGGGATTGAGGGATGGAGTTCGAGAGGGCAGAGAGGCTGATAGTTGAGGGTCAAACAAGACCCCAAGGTTCGGGACTGGCTCAGTGAGGGGGAGTGAGCCCCATGGATGGTGATGCTGTCAGCGCCTGAGGTGAGGAGGCGCTGACGGGAGTCAATCAGGAGCCTCGATCTTGTTGACGTTCAACTGAAGAAAGTTCGCTCTGATCCAGGACTTGATGTCTGACAGACATTCTGTCAGGACAGCAGTGGGTCCTGGAGTCGAGAGTGGAGGCAGAGAGATAAACGCAACACCGTGTGTCAGAATATGTCAGTCACGTGTTTATATAAACACAATGTTGCATGTTAGAGTATGTCAGAGCATGTCAGTCATGTGTCTATACAAACACAACACAGTGCGTGTCAGAATGTGTCACGTGATTTATATATACACGTGTTTGTAATTTAGATGTGTGTGTATACATAATGCCATGTGTGTCAGAGCATGTTAGAGATGTGTGCATGTATACACTTAACAAACTGTATCAGAGGTGTATAAAAACAACATAGTGTGTGTCAGAGCGTGTCAATCACATGTATACACAAGTGTGTACACAAACATTACATCGTGTGGGTCAGAGATGCAAATATACAAACATAACATGTATGTTAGAGCGTGTCAGAGACGTGTATATACCAGTTTGCATATCTATGTTTCTGAGTAAGTGTGCATGTGTTTGTTGTGAGTGTGCACCTGTGTATAAGTGTGATAATGAGTGTGGGTGAGCGAGCATGTGAGTGTGTCAAGCAGGAATAGGGTCGGGAATGGGATTAGGATCAGAGTCCATCTTGGGATCAGGGTTAAGGATAGGGTTGGGCTGTGTGTCTGGGTTGGGTAGTTGTGGGTGACTGACCTGGGACAGGTGGAGCCTGGGGCTGGGGTTAGGGTTGGGGCTGTGGGTGACTGACCTGGGACTGGGAGAGCCTGTGGTTGTGGTTGGGGTTGGGGCTGGGGTTAGGGTTGGGGTTGGGGCTGGGGTTAGGGTTGGGGCTGGGGTTAGGGTTGGGGCTGGGGTTGGGGTTGGGGCTGTGAGTGACTGACCTGGGACTGGGAGAGCCTGTGGTTGTGGTTGGGGCTGGGTTAGGGTTGGGGTTGGGGCTGGGGCTGGGGTCAGGGTTCGGGCTGGGGTTAGGGTTGGGGCTGGGGTTGGGCTGGGGTTGAGGTTGGGGCTGGGGTTAGGGTTGGGGTGAGGGTTGGGGTTGGGTCTGGGGTTGGGGTTGGGTTTGGGGCTGGGGTTAGGGTTGTGGTTGGGGGTTGGGGTTGGGCTGGGGTTAGGGTTGGGGCTGGGGTTGGGGCTGGGGTTAGGGTTGGGGGTTGTGGTTGGGGTTGGGGCTGGGGTTAGGGTTGGGGTTGGGTTGGGGTTAGGGTTGGGGCTGGGGTTAGGGTTGGGGCTGGGGTTGGGGTTGGGGCTGTGAGTGACTGACCTGGGACTGGAGAGCCTGTGGTTGTGGTTGGGGCTGGGGTTAGGGTTGGGGTTGGGGCTGGGGCTGGGGTCAGGGTTCGGGCTGGGGTTAGGGTTGGGGCTGGGGTTGGGGTTGGGGCTGTGAGTGACTGACCTGGGACTGGGAGAGCCTGTGGTTGTGGTTGGGGCTGGGGTTAGGGTTGGGGTTGGGGGTTAGGGTTGGGGCTGGGGTTGGGGTTGGGGCTGTGAGTGACTGACCTGGGACTGGGAGAGCCTGTGGTTGTGGTTGGGGTTGGGGGTTGGGGCTGGGGTTGGGGCTGTGGGTGACTGACCTGGGACTGGGAGAGCCTGTGGTTGTGGTTGGGGTTGGGGGTTGGGGTTGTGGCTGGGGTTGGGGTTAGGTTTGGGGCTGGGGTTAGGGTTGGGGTTGGGGCTGGGGTTAGGGTTGGGGCTGGGGTTAGGGTTGGGGTTGGGGCTGGGGCTGGGGTTAGGGTTGGGGTTAGGGGTTGGGGCTGGGGTTAGGGTTGGGGTTGGGGGTTGGGGTTGGGGCTGGGGTTGGGGTTGGGGTTAGGGTTAGGGTTGGGGTTAGGGTTAGGGTTAGGGTTGGGGTTGGGGCTGTGAGTGACTGACCTGGGACTGGGAGAGCCTGTGGTTGTGGTTGGGGCTGGGGTTTGGGTTGGGGTTGGGGGTTAGGGTGGGGCTGGGGTTGGGGTTGGGGTTGGGGTTGGGCTGGGTTAGGGTTGTGGTTGGGGGTTGGGGTTGTGGCTGGGGTTAGGGTTGGGGCTGGGGTTGGGGTTGGGGCTGGGGTTAGGGTTGGGGGTTGGGGTTGGGGCTGGGGTTGGGGCTGGGTTGGGGTTGGGGTTGGGGGTTGGGGTTGGGGTTAGGGTTGGTGTTGGGGTTAGGGTTGGGGCTGTGGGTGACTGACCTGGGCCTGGGAGAGCCTGTGGTTGTGGTTGGGGTTGGAGGTTGGGGTTGGGTTTAGGGTTGGGGTTGGGGTCAGGGTTGGGGTTAGGGTTAGGGTTGGGGTTGGGGCTGGGGTTGGGGTTAGGGTTGGGGCTGGGGTTGGGGCTGGGGTTAGGGTTGTGGTTGGGGGTTGGGGTTGGGGCTGGGGTTAGGGTTGGGGCTTGGGGTTAGGGTTGGGGTTGGGCTGTGGGTGACTGACCTGGGACTGGGAGAGCCTGTGGTTGTGGTTGGGGTTGGGGTTAGGTTTGGGTTGGGGTTAGGGTTGGGGTTAGGGTTAGGGCTGGGGCTGGGGTTGGGGTTAGGGTTGGGGCTGGGGCTGGGGTTGAGGTTGGGGTTGGGGCTGGGGTTAGGGTTGTGGTTGGGGGTTGGGGTTGGGGCTGGGGTTAGGGTTGGGGCTGGGGTTGGGGGTTGGGGCTGGGGTTGGGGCTGTGGGTGACTGACCTGGGACTGGGAGAGCCTGTGGTTGTGGTTGGGGTTAGGATTGGGTTCGGGGTTGGGGTTGGGGCTGGGTTTAGGGTTGGGGCTGGGGTTAGGGTTGGGGCTGGGTTGGGGTTGGGGCTGTGAGTGACTGACTGGGACTGGGAGAGCCTGTGGTTGTGGTTGGGCTGGGGTTTAGGGTTAGGGTTAGGGTTAGGGTTGGGGCGGGGTTAGGGTTGGGGTTGGGTTGGGGTTGGGGTTAGGGTTGGGGCTGGGGTTGGGGTTAGGGTTGGGGCTGGGGTTGGGGTTGGGCTGGGGTTGGGGTTGGGGTTGGGTTGGGGGTTGGGCCTGGGGTTGGGGTTGGGGGTTGGGGCTATGGTTGGGGTTGGGGCTGGGGTTAGGGTTGGGGCTGGGGTTAGGGTTGGGGTTGAGGGTTGGGGTTGGGGTTGGGGTTGGGGCTGGGGTTGGGGTTGGGGTTGGGCTGGGGTTAGGGTTGGGGCTGGGTTGGGGTTGGGGCTGGGTTAGGGTTGGGGTTAGGGTTGGGTTAGGGTTGGGGTTAGGGTTGGGGTTGGGGGTTGGGGCTGGGGTTGGGGTTGGGGCTGTGGGTGACTGACCTGTGACTGGGAGAGCCTGTGGTTGTGGTTGCGGTTGGGGTTAGGGTTGGGTTGGGGCTGGGTGGGTTGGGGTTGGGGCTGGGGTTTGGGGCTGGAGGTTGGGGTTGAGGGTTGGGGCTGGGGGTTAGGGTTGGGGGTTGGGGCTGGGGCTGGGTTGGGTTGAGGGTTGGGGCTGGGGCTGGGGTTAGGGTTGGGGTTGGGGCTGGGGTTGGGGTTGGGGGTTGGGGTTGGGGTTGAGGGTTGAGGGTTGGGGTTGGGGGTTAGGGTTGGGGTTAGGTTGGGGTTGGGGCTGGGGTTGGGGCTGGGGCTGGGGTTGGGGTTGGGGTTAGGGTTGGGTTAGGGTTGGGGTTGGGGTTGGGGCTGGGGTTGGGTTGGGGTTAGGGTTGGGGTTAGGGTTGGGGTTGGGGCTGGGGCTGGGTTGGGGTTGGGGGTTAGGGTTGGGGTTGGGGTTGGGGTTAGGGTTGGGGTTGGGGTTGGGGCTGGGGTTGGGATTGGGGTTGGGGCTGGGTTGGGGTTGGGGTTGGGGTTGGGGCTGGGCTTGGGGTTGGGGTTGGGGCTGGGGGTTGGGGTTGGGGCTGGGGTTGGGGCTGTGGGTGACTGACCTGGGACTGGGAGAGCCTGTGGTTGTGGTTGGGGTTGGGGTTGGGGTTGGGGTTGAGGGTTGTGGTTGGGGTTGGGGGTTGGGGCTGGGTTAGGGTTGGGGTTGGGGTTGGGGTTGGGGTTGGGGTTGGGGTTGGGGTTGGGGTTGGGGTTAGGGTTGGGGTTGGGTTAGGGTTGGGGTTGGGGCTGGGGTTGGGGTTGGGGTTAGGTTGGGGTTGGGGCTGGGGTTGGGTTGGGATTGGGGGTTGGGGCTGGGGTTGGGGTTGGGGTTGGGGTTGGGGTTGGGGCTGGGGTTGGGTTGGGGTTGGGGCTAGGGTTGGGGTTAGGGTTGGGTTGGGGTTAGGGTTGGGGCTGGGGTTGGGGTTGGGGTTGGGGGTTGGGGTTGGGGTTGGGGCTGGGGTTGGGGCTGGGGTTGGGGTTGGGGTTGGGGTTGGGGGTTGGGGCTGGGGTTGGGTTGGGGTTGGGGTTGGGGGTTGGGGCTGGGGTTGGGGCTGGGTTGGGGTTGGGGTTAGGGTTGGGGTTGGGGCTGGGGTTGGGGTTGGGGCTGTGGGTGACTGACCTGGGACTGGGAGAGCCTGTGGTTGTGGTGTGGTTGGGGTTGGGGTTGAGGGTTGTGGTTGGGGTTGGGTTGGGGCTGGGTTAGGGGTTGGGGTTTGGGGGTTGGGGTTGGGGCTGGGGTTGGGGTTGGGGGTTGGGGGTTGGGGTTGGAGGTTGGGGTTGGGACTGGGGTTGGGGTTGGGACTGGGGTTGGGGTTGGGGCTGGGGTTGGGCTGTGGGTACTGACCTGGGACTGGGAGAGCCTGTGGTTGTGGTTGGGGTTGGGGTTGGGGTTGGGGTTGAGGGTTGGGGTTAGGGTTGGGGCTGAGGGTTGGGGTTGGGGTTGGGGCTGTGGGTGACTGACCTGGACTGGGAGAGCCTGTGGTTGTGGTTGGCCTGGGAGCCTGGGGCTGGTTCTGGGCTGTGATCCGGGGTGTGGGGTGATGCCCGTGAGGGGAGGAGACAGTGCTGTAGGACGGAGGCACAGCGCCATTTGTCTCTGTAACAGCTGCATGACCGCCTGATATCAGTCGCCATGCGCGACTCCAGCCTGCGGAGACGGGAGGCACATCGTCAACACAGGGTCAGCTCATCGGTTAATCACAGTTACTACATCCACAGGAGCCCCCCACCCTCCACCCTCCACCCCCACCCCCACCCCCACCCCCACCCCCCACCCACCCCCCCACCCCCCCCTCCTCCCTGCAGCCTTCCATGTTTACCACAACACCCATCTCACTGCTTGAACTCTGCAGCTCGTGTACTGTCCGCACCAGGCTTCGGGACCAATCACTCCACCCTCGCCTCACCCTCGCCTCACCTCACCTGCCCTCGCCTCGCCCTCACCCTCACCTCGCTCGCCTCCACTGGCCCCATCCCCAGAGGATCGAATTCAAGATCCTCATCCTCACCTACAGACATTCACGGCCTGCTCCTCCTCCTCTCCGACCTACTATCCCCTACCTACCTGCCCATACCTCCGTTCCTCTGGCTCCGGTCTGCTCCACATCCCGCCCAACCGCCCTACCATCGGTGGCCTTCAGCCTCTCACCCCGAGGCTCTGGAACTCCATCCCCCAGTGCCTTCGCCGCTTCCTCCTTTCCTCCTTCAAGGCCGGTCTCAAGACCTTTCTCTTTGACCGTACCTTCAGCTCCCCTCTCGACTCTCTACCCCTCCTCGCTCCCTCCCTTCCCTCCCTCACCCTGACCATTTCCCCCCTCCTCGCTCCCTCCCTCCCTCCTCACCCTGACCATTTCCCCCCTCCTCGCTCCCTCCTTCCCTCCCCTCACCCTGACCATTTCCCCCCAATGCTCGGGTCCTGACCCAACTGTACAGCGCTTGGGACGTCCTCCTGACGTGAAATGCGCTCTATAAATGGAATCTTGTTGTTGTTGTTGTTGTTGTTGATGCTGGACTTGGCAGACGGGTTGGAGGAACGTTCTCTGCTGCATCCCCAGGAGCTCAGAACCATGAAGGAGGACAGTATGCCGCAGGGTCTTGTCTGGCACAAGCTTCCCACAGGGTCATGTCCACCACGACCCTCACACACGGATAAGAGTCACCAATTGAGACAGAAACCCCTTGTATCTTCCAATTGATACCCTCAACATCCCCTCTTGAGCCGAGTAGAACCATGATTGCACACCAGCGGGGCGCACCCCCATGTCCACTGGTGCCCAGTGTTCAAGATGGCAGCTGAGTCTGCCAGCAGCAAACAGAAGTGTGCGTTGTCTCAAGAGCAGAGAATCCCCCCTCCCTGACCAGCCGTTCACACCTCAAATTCCTCACCAAGGACAACAACAAATTGCATTTACGCAGCGCCTTTCACGTTGGGAAGACGTCCCAAGACGTTGGGCAATGAGGGATTTGCACCGAGTTGGGGGTTGGGATCAGAGCGAGATAGAGGGCAGGGAGGGTGGAGGTGGGAAGATGACCTAAGGCACGGTCGAAAAAGGGGGGAAAGAACGAGTTGAGGTGTAGAGGCTCCGGCTGAATACTATGGTGGAGTGGGCAGGATGGGGGACGTGAAGCAGGGCAGTGCCCGCTGAGCGGAGGGAGCGGACAGGTTGGTAAAGGTTTAGTAGGTCACAGAGGTGGGGAGGGGCGAGACTGTGGAGGGATTTGAAGGTGAGGACGAGGGTCGTGAACTCGATCTTCTGGGGACGGGGAGCCAGTGAGGCCGGAGGAGGATGGGTTAACCTCATGCCCAACCCCTCCCCTCGCCCAGCTCTGGCTCGCCCCCCTCCCACACCGATGCGCAGTGTTACCTGTTGAGCTGTTTCTGCAGAAGATCCAGCCTGCAGTGCACCTCTGCCCACTGTGGTCGGCCGGTGCCCAGGGCGGGGTTGGGATGAGGGCTGTGTACGGGTGCCATGCTCCGGGATAACTCCTGGTACGTCTGGGAACGGGTCTCACCCAGAAACTGAAGATATTTGAGACACCTGCAAAGGCTCCTGAGACACAGGAAACAGGAAATCCAATCAGCAAGAGCACAGGGAGGCCATTCAACCCATCGAGGTTCCCCAACCTCCCACTGGAGCTCTGTATTCCTCCTCTCACCCCTTCGTGTCTGTGCTGGGGCTCGCTCCCCCACTGGAGCTCTCTGCTCTAACGCCATTCCCCACTGGTAGATCTGGTGAGGATGGGTGAGAATGGGGTGATGGTGAGGATGGGGTGAGGATGGGGTGATGGTGATCCAACTCAACGTCAGCAAGACTGAGGTCCTCCTGATTGGCTCACGCCCCTCGGGCGCTGGCAACATCCGCCTCCACGGCTGCACACTCACCCTCACTAAGCCGGTCAGGAACCTGGGTGTCTTGTTTGACCCTGAACTGTCCTTTCTCGCCCACATCCGCGCCATGACCGGCACTGCCTCCACCACCTCCGCAACAGTGCCAGACTTCGCCACTGCCTCACCCTCAGGCCCCCAAACCCTCACCCACCCATTCCTCACATCAAGGCTCGATTACGGGAACTCCCTCCTCATCGGCTTCTCAACTCTTCCCTTCACAACCTGCAGATCATCCAAAACTCTGCAGCTCATGTACTCTCACCCACCAGACTCCGCGACCCCATCACTCCCACCCTCGCCCGACCCCATCACTCCCACCCTCGCCCGACCCATCACTCCCACCCTTGACCGACTCCACTGGCACCCCATCCCCCAGAGGATCGAGTTCAAGATCCTCGTCCTCACCTTTAAGGCCATCCATGGCCTTGCCCCTCCTATCTCTCTGACCTGCTGACTCCATACCAATCTGCCCGGTCCCTCCGTTCATTGGGCTCCGGCTGTTCCATGTCTCCCACCCGACCCGCCCTACCATCGGGGCCGGGCTTTCAGCCTCTCTGCCCCACACTCTGGAACTCCATCCCACGGTCCCTTCTCCTCGCTTCCTCCCTCGCCTCCTTCAAGGCCGGTCTTAAGACCCTTCTCTTCAATCATGCCTTTGGTCTCCCTCCCACCTCTCTGCCTTCTCTCACCCTAACCACCCCTCCCCATGCTCGGGCCCC